ATTCGATGTTATATTATTTATTAATGTTGTTAAAAATCCTTCTTGATGCTTATTCAGGGAGATAGTACTAGTTTTATAATAGGAAATTAATGCTTTCAATAATGGATGTTTAATTATTAATTCGTTTGATGATGACAGACTTTCATTCAGTTTCGCTCGTTGTTCATCTTTTAATTTTAATATATTTGTAAGATAGTTTAGTCCATTAATAATTCCACATTTGATGATGTACGCCCCATCTGATAACATAAAACATGATTTTTTCTTTATTTCAATTAAATCGGAACAACCGTAGTTAAATAATTCTAATACATTATTCGTACGCAATAAAGATTGAACAGAATGTATTAATTGAATTTTTAATATTGAAAGCACATTTTCTCCAGCTGTTTCATTGACTAAATTGTAAAATTTTTCATTGGAATATAACAGAACGTCATCATGTACTAGAGACAAATGATATTATTCCATTCTAATATTAAATGCACACAGAATGAGAATCAAATAATAGAAGGATTTCTGAAATGACAAGAGCACCGTTCTCTAATAGACGAAAATCCGAAGAAATATGATTTCAAGTTCCCATTGCATGTTCTAGAACCCCTACTGTGTTGATACTACAATTTTTAAACATCAGTTAATTACCCTACTTTCAAAACGAGAAAAATCTTTGACTCTTGACTCTTGTTTACTGCATTAAAAATCAAGCCTATAATAACTATAACACATTCACATCTCTAGAAATTAACTGTTATGAACATAAAAGAATAAAAATAAAGAAAAGGAATAAATATAACGTCTTTAGAAACAAAATACAAGGAGTTAAAATATCGGTTTGATTATTAACTCCTTCCACGACGTTTAGGATGCTCGGACCGTGTTCGAACAGGAACAGCTCTTGGTCTATTTCTAGTTTTACCTGTTGATAAGGAATGACATTTTATTTCAGTATCGCTGTCATTATCATTATTATTTTCCTGCTCATCCGAAGTAATTGTATCATCATTTTGTTTATCATTAGTATTTGTTGCTGGTGATTGTTGTTGTTGTTCATTATCATTTGTATCATTTTGATTATTATTATTATTATCATCGCTTAATTTTTGTTGTTGTTTTGATTTAATTATTGTACATTTATCACTTTTTAAATGATTATAAAAATTAGATAATTGAAAATACGTACGATTACGAAAAAGTTTTATTAATGAACCATACTGACACGTTATAGATGCATCTAATGTACCATTGATATTAGGTATCACTAATTTGTAATTATCGGGTTCATCTAATTTTGAATTATCTAATGACAGACTCTGTTTATTTTTATCATACCATTCATCAATTGTCATTTTTATATATTTACAATGTTGTGTTTCAGTTGGAGATGCTAAATTTGTTGAGATATTTGAAGATGTGGTGATAATGGATGATAATGAGATGGATTCTGCATTATCCGATGGTAGTGTTGTCTGAATTTGTAAACGTTGTCTTTTGAATGTGTTGCTTTACCATGTTCATCACATTTCTTTTTAAATAATTGAATCAAATAATTATAACTACTTTTGAAACCTTCTTTAACAATAAATTTACCGTCACATAATTTAAACGTTATTCTGCTACGAATATCGTTGACAATACACAATAAATAGGTTAAACTGTAAGATGCACGCAACTCAAACTTCAGGCTGAATTTTTTCCTAGTCAAGTCATACATGGTTGAATAGAGCGCGATGACCTGAGTAAGAAAAAAGTAGTTTTTAACTTTTGCAAAAAGTGTTTTGCAGTTGAAAACTTTGAAAGATCTATTTTTTCATCTTCGTTCAAAGCCGTTAATTTTCCATAAATTTCATTTTTCTCCATTTAGACTTGTTTTTAACCTTTCAGACTATATTTTTATAGAAAAAATAGATCTTTCAAAGTTTTCAACTGCAAAACACTTTAAACAACTGCAAAACACTTTAAAACACGAAAATTGTTATGATGATAAAAAATAGAAAAATTTTGATAATGATTTCATTGTTGACTCAATGTTTGATATACATGATACTGAACCAAAAATAGAATTAGAAATAGCAAAATATATA